CCCCAGAGATTGGAGAGCCCAACCCAAAGTCCCCAGGCTCAGCTTCCTCAACAGAAGGCATGTAGATTGTCTTGACCATGTCTACATGCCTAAATGCACTGAGTTGCCGCCATGTGATTGGCTGATTAGAAATTAAGTGTTAATGAGCAGTTGGACAGGTGTACCTAATAAAGTGGCCGGTGAGTGTATAAAGGTGAACTAAAAACCCACCAGTATAATGAGAGAACAAATTCCTGCTGTTATTTTGTTGATTGCCAAATAACATTATCTACGATGACAAAATATTATAAATGGTTAAGTAACCAAAACTACTGTTTAACCTTACTCATAAAAAGGGAATCCTGTGTGATTTGTTAATGCACAAAATTCGGACATACTGTATTTGTTCACTCTAGTGCGGCCTAGAGTAGGGATTGACCCATCCAATATGGCGGCGGCACAAGCTGCACACCGCGCCATGAGGTCTCTAGGCTTTTTATGATATCTATGTTTCAACTGTTATGTTGCTGTTAGACTTTACCTGGCGTTATCCATATTTAGTTATCATCTACCAACTTGTGGCTGCATTATGCTAATTTTTAGGTTTTGACCAACCTTTCACTACTTTTCGGTTTATACATTTTTGCCAGCATAACCTACTTCCGGATTCTAAGTCAACAGTTGTAGACGTCCATTTAATGTAAACATCGAGTTTTAGTCAAATCTGTCCAGTGGTCCACGTGATATTTAGCTAACACACAGGGTTGACTCGAATAGTTTAACTGTTCTAGTTGTATGATCCGCAGTTTGGACTCCTCTCTCAGAACCGAACACTTCTACTTCTTTGAACTCAGAACCAACACATATTAACGAACCTTCTCGTTCGGGGATTCTTGTGTGTTTTCGGTTCCAACCGGTGATAGAGTCACTTCGGTTCCAGTTTTCTCGAAACCGCTGATGATTTTCGACATTTCAGACACAGTATCGGTCACCATGATGTTCAAAATGGCGCAAACTTGCGCCTCCAGGTCCGACATGCTGACGGTTCGGTGTCCAGCTCTGTCGGTGCAACACTTTAATTTCGACTTTACCAGAACTTATCAGTTTGGTACAGTGGCTGTCCCAAATCGTTATGGCAGAAAAACAACGTCCCATTCACATATATTGTGCTTCCGGGTTCGTGCATTTCAAAATAAAACACTACTCGGTACTGAATTCAGTCAGCTTTCAGCTTACATTTCTAAAACTGTATTAACGTTTAAATGGACCCTCTATGCGCTTTTTGTTTATTCGTTTTGCATTTAAAAAATATATGAAGAATAAAAAAACGGATGGCTATTATCCTTTCATATTTTAAAAACGAGGAAGAAAAACCTGGTTCGTTTTATTTTTCTCAAACCGGAAATTTAACACTGTCGTGATCAGACGATTTAAGGTGGATCAAGTTAAATAACTTTGTAAAAACGGGTAGCTTCAGGTAAATAAATAAATAAATAAATAAATAAATAAACAAACATTTCTGTAACAAACTGCTCATTGTATTTTCTTAATAATATAAATATCTAATTAAAAAGATTTACCTAGTTTCACCTTAAATGATCTGATGAGATGAATTAAACAGGCTTTTTTTTCCTTTAGAACTTTATTAACAATGGACAATGTCAACAAAACAGCAAAATATCCATATTGCTATGATATTTTACACACACACACACACACACACACACACAC